TTATTTTTAAATAGTTTACTTTGTCTTCTTTTTCTGTTTTATTTTGTGCTCTTATATGGACTTTAATTGCACATAAAATTTTGGAGGAGAAGTAAATGAATATAATTTATCATTAACAGATAAACACTTATAGTCAAGATTGTGCAAATACACTACAAAGATTATGTTGATTATTCACCATAACTAACATCCAGTTAGCAGGTTGCAATTCATCTCAGGTAACATGTTTTCACATCATTTGTGTGTTTATTACTTACATTTGTTATTATTGGGTTTTTACAGTTTCAAATGTTTCATTACTATTGTCTAATGTGAAGTTCCAAAGCTCCACCAATAGACTATAGAGTTTAGAGTGGGTTCATTGAAGCATAATAGAAGAAAATATTAATCTGAATATTGTAGCTTAGAATAATATTATAAACATATATAGTGAATATGGCTCTAACGCAAATTCAGAAGCTGCTAGAACAATTGCATTGTCAGCTGTAGTTATCTCGCCTAAGCCTTGATATTGAATTTTATTGGACCTGTGGTCCATTTCCTCTAGTCCCCATGGGGCAGTTTGAATTATGAAACTTTGTCAAGGCTTTTGCTTCATTTCCAGACAAAACACAATGGTAAACCAATTGTGTTTTTCCAAAACAATTACAAAATAAGTTTCTAAGGAAAAAAAATTGGCGATATATATATATTACTAAAGAGTAGTAAGAGACAAAAGAATAGAAGCATTATTTATTATTGCACCCATCTAGTAAAAATATTGCAATCATATTGTTGACACCTCTCTAAAGTTGATGAAAAATACTGTGTTAAAAGGAAAACAGAACACACATCTGTCTTGGTCACTTCAGACTGCCTTAGCAGAATACCATGGATGGAATGACTTAAACAACAAATCTTTTTCACAGGTATGGAGGCTGGAAGTCCAAGATCAGGATGCCAGCATGGCTAGGTTCTTAGAGAAGGCCCTCTTTTCTGATTCAGAGATGGGAGCTGCCTTCTCATTGTTATCCTCAAGGAGCAGAGAAAGAGCTCAGGTCTCTTACTGCTTTTCTGAAGACACTAATCCTACCATGGGGGCTCCACCCTCACGCTCTCACCTAAACCTAACCACCTCCCAAAGGCCTTAATTTTTCTACCATGTTAAACATTTGCTGTCAAATAAGTTACTCTGCTTAATAGGTCCAAGCTTCACTTCACTCTTCTGCAAAATGTAAACAATAACCCCTCATGACAGTAAATAAGGTAATACTATATACTTGGCTCAGTAATCTGAAAATATTGCTGACTTGTCCACATTACTTCTTGAATCTTCATTCTACTTAGCCTTGAGAAATAAGATTAAAAGTATGTTTTAATCTTCTAAAAGGGACTAACCTTTTGTCTTTCCCTCCAGGGTTAAAATTAAGGAAAATACTTCACATCACCAGAAATGATAATGTCAAATAGATGCAATGCATCTTTCTTATATTTCAAGTGTCAAAAATAATCTCTTTCTGGCACCAATCCTAATATCAGTCAGAGATGGTAATGTCATAGTGCATGCTGTATTTTTAATATTTCCTTCATTTCAAATTCTTATCAAATTATTGTGAATTACCACCAGCAGAATTTAGATTTGCATGAACAGGAATAAATACCTTTCTCACTATTTGATTAAAGGCAAAATATGAGATCTTGAAACCTTTATAAATACATAATAAAATTCTTTTCTGAGCTTGAAATATTACCCATGTTGAATGAAGCAAAATATACTTGTCTCATGCCAATAACCCTCCTAGACTTCTTGTCCTCTTGTTAGTACAGATTTTAATTGAAAAGGCAAATATAAAGACAAGATAAGCTCACAAGAATGAATAATGACTGGACAGGAGTACTTATTAAGAAAAACGAATTATGAGCGTCACAAAGAACTTCAATAATAAAAGAAGAACACTTACTGCATAATTTCCCCTGATCAATAATTGTACCTCAGGTTATCAAATACTCACATCAAATTCCTAAACCAAATGATTTCATGAACCAGCTTACAAACTCAACCCAAAAGTCAACTACCACATGCCCCAGACCATCATCTTGTACCTTCCAATTGTCCCTATAAATAAGCTTATATTAGATGCTGGATGCTAGATACTTGCCTTCAACATCTTATTTGAGGCAAAAACATAAATTTATCATCTAGTGTATCTCCCTTTCTTCCTTTTAGAAAGAAAATCCACACAGGTCTGCTTGGCATGAGCCCATCCAGGTCACAGCTACATTCCTAGCCTTCTCGAAGAGAGGTATGGCCAGTGCCAGTACTGGCTGAAGAGATACATGCAGCATCCAGGTCATGTCCTGAGAGCCAGCACGGCTTGCCCTGGGCTTTCCCTTTACCCTTTCTCATTTCCTCAGGAAAAGGAGATGACTGGGGCAGTGTTGGAAGTCAGGGAGCTCTCCTATCCGCGTGGACCACTCACCACTGGACTCACATTAGAAAGCAAAACACTTCTCCCTTGTGCTCGCTTCGGAGGCGCATGTACTAAATTGTAACACAGACTAGCAGGGCTCCTGCACAAGGAGGACGTGCAAACTCAAGAAGTGTCCATACTTTCAGCTAGTGAGGTTAATGCTAAGTGAAGTAAGTCAGAAGGAGAAAGACATATTGGATGGTCTCACTTACATGTAGAATAGAAACAGAAAAAGGGTCACCCCAAACCAGCCCTTGCCAATTGACTGCAAAGCTGAGGTAACCAGAAGGGGAGGTGGTGGGACGGCAGTCAGGAGGGATGGGGTCCAAGGGAGCACAGTGAGGGTTACTGGGGCTTTGGTGGTGGGCAGGTGTGAAAACACACATTTGTAGAGGTTTGAACCTGTAGCCCCTAAAACAAATAAAATGAAGCAAGCCAATTTTGCCTCCGTAAAAAATAATTGGAAATAAATAAATATTACCCCTCAATTGAGCTACAGTATTTGGTGGTCCTTTCTTTGCAACAGCACAGCCTGGGTGCTGGGGTTCCCTCTGCAGAGAGGCCCTTTCTCTCAGGGGCTTGGTGTTTACAGAGAGTGCCTGGTGGGGTGAAGAGCTAGCTGGTTGGGCACCCCAGCCCTGCATCAAAGCAGACTCACTGACTTCCCCCCAGCCACTTTCTGGGCAGCAAAACCCTGAAACTTGAGGCTGGTGAAGAACCAAAGGATCTTATTCTCCTCACTCCAGAGGTTTCACTAGGCAGAGATTTGAGGATGACCCTCTGCCTTCCGATCCTTCCAGGGGGGTTTCATCCTGACCTCAGAATCCAAGCAAATGCTGGTTTGGTTGCTTTTTCACTCACTTAATCAAGTATTTTGTGTTCTCTGTTCCATGTTAGTGACTGAGAAGGCACATTCTCAGACTCCCAAGCTAGGGAGACATCATTCCATATATTAAATGTGTCATGGAAGAGATAAAAGTCAAGAAAGAAAAGTCTAGCAGGATTCACCCAACCACTTCTTACTGACTCTGCACCCTAATAAGAGTTAGAGTCCTACTTAGAGCGGACAGAGTAATACAAGGCCAGCTCCTAAAGAGAGAATCTGCTCACCAGTAAAAATAACATCACTAGTCAGGAAAATGGTAAAAAGATTGCCAAATACTAAGTTTTTCTGGACAAAATAACCTCCCTCATTAACAAAATTTAACCCAGAACCTCCAAAATTAGGAGTGGAGAAAGGCTCCTGATGTAAGAATTAGCTTTTGGACAATACAACACAGGCCACATCTGTTCCCCTTGAAATCACCATCTCCTTTATTCCAATGTCACGCCATCCTGGGCTGGGGTAGAGAAGACTGTAGTTCCCTATTAATGCTTTAATGTAAACCACAGCTAAAACCACACTGGAACAGTTAAATAAAAATTTCATGAAAGTTGAGGATCACAAAAGGGAAATTTACTCAGAAAGTAACATTAAACGAGATAGATATATAACAGTTATAATATTTTGAAAACAATATAACCATGTATTTTTAATTCCCTATGGCTTTCTGAGGCATTGAATCAAGAACTTTCCTTGCTTTCAGGGAAGAAACCCAACCCTGCTCCGCGCCCAAAAAGAAATTGCTCATAATTGAGTATTAAATCGGATTTATTAAGTTCACAATGAGAAAATCGTCTTGAAAGCCTGGTTCCCTTGAGGAAGAGTGAGCGTGCGCTAGTGCACACACACACACACACACACACACACACACACACCTTAACTTCCAGAAGCTTCTATCCAAATACCAAGAGGAGATTTGAGAGAATTTGAAGCAGAGAGATTCAGATAGGCACTAAAGGAAACTCCCCTCCAACAGCTAAGCATTCCCTTGAAGAAAATGAAAAGGACAGAGGAACTCAGGGTCATTCCTAAGGGCTTCCTCTGCCTCCCCCACACAGGGGCCCGCTCCCCTGGAGTGTGGTGGAACTTCTCCAGCAGGACCGGGTGCGGGCCTCTCAGGGACCCCCTTTTCTTCAAGGCTTCCCTCCCCACCTGCTCTGAAGCCGGATTGCCATCTGGCTGCGCGGAGGGCCTGTGGGGCCTGGGCCTGGGGTCGGGTGGGATGCGGAAGTCCACAGGCCTAAGGAAAAGGGGAGCCCCTAGGGGGTTCTAAATAGCACAGTTGCTGGAGGCGGAGTGGGTGGGGGTGTCGTGCTTTTTTGGAAGAAAAGTAATCCTAGAGCAGATGCCTGGGGCAAAGTGCCCAGGAGGAAACACCCCTAACCAAGCCTCAGAGGGTCAGCCCCGGGTGGGGGGAGCTTGTGGGAGGAGGCTGCGTCCCGGAGAGAGGGACACGGACCCCAGACTGTCAGGAAAAGACCCCCAGGCAGCCAGTGCGCACCCAGCGAGAGCTCCCATCAGGGCCCACATTTACCACAAAATTGCCCTAAAATGTTACCCAAGTGTGCGGGGCTTCCCCTGCCTTGCACCACAGGCCCCTTGCACGACAAGCTCACGCCTGCCCAGGTGACCCGCTGGTCTTCTGGCCGGTCCTCGGAGCGCGTCAGGTGCACTCCGGGGTCAGGACTCCGCCGGGGGCGCGGGCGCGGCGCAGGCCCCCCAGGACACCGGCCACCAGGCCGCCTTCGGAAAGGCTGGACCCAACGGGGCGATTTTACTGCAGCTTCGCGCCATTCCGAGCGCTCTGCCGCGGCTCACGCGCACGAGCCCCGCAGCCCTCCCCGGGGAGGCCTGTGACTCCATTTTCAAGGAGAGGCGACTGCGGCACAGAGGCCCGAGTCTCCGCGACCCTGCGACGGGCGGCGGGACTGGGAAACTGGGCAAACTTGCACTCACGACCATTTCACTCCCCCGCGCCCTGCCGCCCACCCGCCCCTGCGCGGTCGCCCCCCGGGAAACCGGACAGCCACACCCCACTTACCCTCGTGGTCAGGGTGGGTCTTCACCGCAGAGCGCACGTGCTCGGGACGCGCCTCCCGCCACCGGCGAGGTCACCGCTGCCCCGAGAGCGGAGCCGGCCGCACGCGTGGAGAGGAAACTGCTCAGGCGCGCAGGTGGCCACGGCCCTGGCGCTGGGACTCAGGGACCCGCAGGTGCAGGTGCCCGCGGCCCTGGCGCTGGGACTCAGGACCCGCCGGTGCCGGTGCCCGCGGCCCTGGCGCTGGGACTCAGGGACCCGCAGGTGCAGGTGCCCGCGGCCCTGGCGCTGGGACTCAGGGACCCGCCGGTGCAGGTGGCCACGGCCCTGGCGCTGGGACTCAGGGACCCGCAGCTGCAGGTGCCCGCGGCCCTGGCGCTGGGACTCAGTGACCCGCAGGTGCAGGTGCCCACGGCCCTGGCACTGGAACTCAGGGACCCGCAGGTGCCGGTGCCCGCGGCCCTGGCGCTGGGACTCAGGGACCCGCCGGTGCAGGTGCCCACGGCCCTGGCGCTGGACCTCAGGGACCCGCAGGTGCCGGTGCCCACGGCCCTGGCGCTGGACCTCAGGGACCCGCAGGTGCCGGTGCCCACGGCCCTGGAGCTGGGACTCAGGGACCCGCAGGTGCCAGTGCCCACGGCCCTGGCGCTGGGACTCAGGGACCCACAGGTGCCGGTGCCCGCGGCCCTGGCGCTGGACTCAGGGACCCGCAGGTGCCGGTGCCCGCGGCCCTGGCGCTGGGACTCAGGGACCCGCAGGTGCCGGTGCCCGCGGCCCTGGCGCTGGGACTCAGGGACCCGCCGGGGCCGGTGCCCACGGCCCTGGGACCTGCCGGCTCCGCCCTGGCGCTGCCCCGCGGCGGGCACAGATGGCGCTGGCCCCTCGGCTCTGTCTGCAAGGGCATCGCGCGAGCGGGGGGACACCGGAGCTGACACAGACTCGCCCCCTGGTTCAGAGCGGCCAGAGCAGGGCCGCGGCCGCCCTCGCGCAGGCTTCGCGTTTGTCTTATTTCTTGTCATTTCTAGAGACTGGACCGTGGCTGGACTGTCCCAGCGCGGGCCCCTCCGCAGATGGTGATGCCAAGTCACACCGGCTGACATATGTCCTGGGCCTTGTTGCCATGTTTCCTGAGCACAGAGCTGTGGGGTTAAAAAAAAAGTCGTAACCTTTGAGAAAAAGGGATGTCCTGGCTTGGATGGTTTAAAACCACCTTGTACGGAAATGAAAGATTTCCCTGAATTACAGGCATAATTAGTGTTATTTTTCCTTGGATCTTTCTTCACAAGGATTAACTAATAACATGAAATTCATAGGGACATTAACTAATTTTTATATTAGAAAAAGACAATTCAGTGGACACGTCTAGACACAAAAAAACCACACTGATGGTAATAAATGAGGAAACTGTTAGTTTTCCTCAGAAGCATATGTAAAAGGGTAAGTTTTTCTATGTATAAAAGTGCTTTAAAGGCAGAACATCTATAAATTCATTTTATGCTTTAACTTTGAGACAAGGTAATTTCAAAGAATAATTCTATTAAATATAAATACTGAGATATCATTAATTAATATTTCTGCATCCCCCTAAGTGGCTTTTAATCCTTACTTCAGTATTATGATTTTTATTACCAATAAAAATTGAATGTGCCCATTAAATATCTAACATATAATTATGCTTTAAATAAACTATAACATGTTTTTCATATTCTTCTAAATCCAACTAAAAAGTCAAAATAGTTTGAAGAAACACAGACCTAGAGACGATATTTGTTTCCTATTAAAACATGCAATTTAGCTCAATTAAAATATCTTGCAGGAAAAACACCACATCTCTGCCACAGGTCTTTTGTAATAAAATCTCAGTAAACTCTAGAGAAGGAGTAAGATCTAGGAGGAGAAAGAAAATTGGGATTTGTGGGCATCCTGGTCGAAGCTGAAGCCTCAGAAGGGTCTGGGAGCGCCAAGATGGTGTAGAAGGTGATGAGAGCCTGAAGGGAAAACAACCTGAGACACCAACCGTGAAAGGAAGGAAGCAGAGGGAGGCCGGGAACCCAAGAAACAGGCTTATATGAAAAGAATTCAAAATATCCGAAGTTTTATAAGGAACGCTGGGAAAATGGTGCCATTAAGGAATGAAAATGGGCGGAGAAGCAGGGACAAGGGCACAGGCGAGCAGAAGGTCATGACAGTTTAAAAGACAAAAGGAACAGGGCGTGCACCTGCAGGCCACGCACACAGTTAGTTCGTTTGAGTCTCCTTCCCCACATGTGAAAATTGAGACGATTACAAGAAACTATCTCGAGTTCTTTCAAATTATAAAATTCCATATTTCTATAATTGTTGTCTACAGTATCTGGAGACCCACAATGAAGATAAAATAATTATCCAAAGACTTCTGCCATGTGAGTAGCTGTGTGAGAGGACTAGGGTGAAAACAGTCCAATCCCATTTGGGGTTAAGAATAATGTGTAACTTATATCAGACCCTTTTTAAAAAGTAGAATAAAAATAGTTTCTTTCACTGAGCACTTTGTTAAAAACTATCCATTTTGGAAAAATAGAATTCATTTTGTAAGTCTGGCAGAAATATAAGCTGATGGAGTCAAGGATGTAAAGGAACTAGAAACATCTTGCAGCGTTACAACTCATTAAAATGCTTACTAGACCACAGAGTGCAGCATCTGAGAAGCAAGTAGGGCTCACAGCATTGTTTTCTTAATTAAAATTCTCTATTTAATCCACTTGAAATATATAGTAAAAAAAAAATAAGTAAAAGGAAAATTCAAAGCAGAACAATTGTTGGGAGATATTGCTCTAAGTCCTGGCTATTTGTTTTTCCGCTGGTAGATTAGTTCATGTTGTATAATCACGAGGTAGTTAAAAACATAATGTAGAGTTGGCACGGGTCATTGTATAGGGTTTGAAGATTGGTTTTCATGCACCGTGCTTTTTCGTTATTTAAACTCTGTTACTGTCATCATTTTTCTAGTGGTTGGGTTTAACCTTTGAACACCACAGACTGCAGACCCATCGAGCATGCTCACAAACAAATGAAAAACACTGTTGGGCCCAGTGATCCATAAGGCAGGTCCTCCCAGAACGAAGTCTACATGAAATGAGGCCTCTTTATTTGTTCATATATTTCTAGGCTGGGCATAAACTGCCCAATTTATAAACTACAGTCAATGATTTAGTTATACAACTCTGTATGCACGTGTGTGTGTGTGTATGTGTGTGTGTGTAATTTTAAGTCTACACACAGATGAAGTAGAGAGTTAAATTATTTGAATGGTCATAGGCAGTGAGGATTGGACCCACCCAGACCTCAAGGTCTCCTATTTAATGTTTCCCAAAAATGCCTGAAAATAAAAATCATATTTATTTTTTATTTAAAAAATAAAATCATATTTAAAAATTTTATAATTATTGTATAAAGTAGAAAAATATCATTGGGTTCACAGCCTGCACAACTGAACTAGAATCCTCAGTGGGAAAGCCTTGACTGCACAGAGCCCTCAGGGGAACACAAGAAAGGCTGCTTGGGCCCAGCTTTCTGTCTGAAGGTTGAGTCCCAGCCTTGAGTGTGGTTCCTAATAACTTTCTGTGCACCAGAATCACCTGGGAGCTGTTTTGCTTTGTTTTCAGTATGGAGCCCAGAACATCCACGATGGCTCTCCAGAGTGGGGGCTTGTAACCCTGAGTGGGGGCTTGTAACCTTGTGTGTTGGGAGGGCTGCTTCGCTTGTTAATTATTGTTAATTATTATTCACTTGTTAATTATCAGCCGTATGTGGGCTGATACTCAGACTGATACTGAGGCTGATACTCAGACTGGTTTGGAAACAGCTGCCCACCTGGCTTTGCTTCTGCTTGAACACCTCCAAGTCAAGAACTGAAACCATCTCTACCTCAATAATTACAAGTCACTATTATAACAACTACAAATACTTATTCTCTTTACTTAGGACATATCCTTCCACTCTCCATTCACACATGAGCACCCCATCTATGCAAAGAAGCAGGTTGCTTGTTCCTGTTATCAGGTTGTTGCGGTGAGTGGAGGTGGCTAAGTTTTTGTGCTGTGACAGCTTCTCCAGGGCAAGATCATGGGATGGGGTGGAATGGAGGGAAATTTAATCAAAACTTGGTTTTTGGCAGCACATGTACCAAAAAATATAGTTGGCTGATGAAATTGTTACTGCTTACTGATAACTTCATCAAAACTATGGCATTATACACGTTAAATACTACAAAACTCAGCTCTTTAGGAATCACTTTGAAGAAAATTACTGTTCCTTTAATTAGCACATTTCTTATACTAAATTGATGTTTTGAGCTTCTCAAATATTATGGGAAATCACCAGAAACATATAAGACTGAAATTTTACATTTTTTCCAAAAAAGTTCTACTAGGGCTTTCCATGTGCCAGCACTGTTCTTGGCACAGGATACAACATGAAACAAGACCTGCCCCCTTTAACCTCTATTTGGTAGGAGCTAAGGCGGAAATAATCTGTATTAAAATAACTATATATACTGAAATATCTGGCAATAGATAAGACTGTGACCAAAATAAAGCAGAATAAACAGATAAAGTCTGCAAGACTTTCACATGGGCAATGCTGGGTGCCCCTTCACCCTCCGTGGGTCTTCGTTAGTGTGAGTTCTGGGTTGCATCATCTTCCTCCATATATGATTATAACGATACTGGCAATGTCACTTTCCATATTTATGAATATAGGTTTTTCAAAAAATTGCAAGCTGCTCCAAACAGAAAATTGAGCTGCACCAGCTCCACTCTCTGACTGCAGGCACCAGGGCAGGGCCCTCCGATTTGCTGATTTGCCTGGCTTCACAGGCTGCTCAGTACCTTGAATCAAAATGAGCCACCTCTGTCACACTGCCACATGCCACGTCTGCCCACACAGAGTACTCCCCATTCATCATCGACAGCAGCTCCGTGGTGTCACAGCCACATTGCTGAGGACCTTCTCGTGACCGCCTCCATGGAGCTTCCTTGCACGTCTTGCCAACGAGCAGCTGCTCGGGGTCCTGCGGCCATCCATCCTCAGGCGGCGCGGCAGAGCTCAGCGGCCCACACAGCTCTGTCCTTCGCAGTCTGGCTGCTTTCCAGGGCAGCTGGGGGAGGCTGCTTGCCGTTGTGTTGCTATGTATTTATACAGTGATTAGCACGCTTGTGGCATGGCTACAGGCTGATCAAGCAGTATGTCCAAACTAAGCCGGGACGAATTCATACCTCTCTCGACCTCTTTTTGAAGAGGAAAACAGGAGAAAGTGAGCCACAAATAGGCATGGGAAATGACTAGTTTATAAAAACAAATAATTAGCAAGCTCAAAATGTCTCATATGGCATTACCGTGGGTGACAAACACCATAATCTAGGAGGCCTGGCCAAGCAGGCTCATATTTTCCCCAAGTGGATGAGGAATAACCACTACAGGTTACATCTATAAACACAGCTCTTATTTTGATTTTTATGGCTTAGGTCAAAAGTTCTTTTGTATACATTATATCACTGTATGTCTGCTGGATTTTCACTGAAAATGTTTTTCAAATATACCATGCAAAGTTTTAATAAAGTAACATTTTATAATGTGTTTTTATTTTTTTTTAATTCTATTGCTTTTTAATAAAGCAACTTGGTCTATAAGACTATATATGATTTAGGGGTATAAATTCGCCCCTCTTCAGATGTATGGTAGCACACCACACCCATCACCCAAAACACCCATATCCTCTATCCAGAAACAGACCATGTCTACAGCTAACTGCTAGTCTTCCATGTCCCTGGATGGAAACAGTGGAATAAACTGTAGATAATCCAGTATAATCTAAATGCCAGTTATACAGAAGTTGTACTGCAGAATTCAATTAATGACATAACCAATCTCTCAATGTTCTATTTTATCCATTTCACTCAGACTCTCGCTTCCCCACTGGTTACTGCTGCTATCTTCTCATCTTGAAACTTTGCTAATCAACAAATTCCTTGACATCTGTTTGGGTTCTCCTACCTACCTCTTGGATAATTCCTTTTATTCCTTCTTTCAGATAAAGA